CTCACAAAATAGAAAGAGATTCTCAAAGTGACTGTTGGTTTTTACAGCTCTTTTTTCTTTAACCAAACAGTGATATCAATCCAAAGATGTCTCTGGAGCTTTGGCTTGTGGTGAGACTGTTGATCAGAGACCCTATAGTGAGTTGATGTATATTCTAATTGTCCCATATGAGCCGTGTTTGAAGGGGGTTGTAGTTATGTAGAGGACTGTGTTAGATCAGGTCCTGTGGGAGCTAGTGGACCCTGAGGCTGTGGAAGGTTCAGTCTTTAACTATTCCCTTTAGTGACACACTGAGGCCTTTCTGACTACAGATTAAGAATGGATCTACCGTTGGGGGCACTTCACCTGAGCGACAGACACTCAGTAGGGAGAAAAGGAGAGGGAGAGAGAGCGAGCGAGAGAGAGAGAGAGAGAGAGAGAGAGAGAGAGAGGAGAGAGAGAGAGAGAGGGAAAAAAGAGAGAGAGAGACAAGAAGAGAGAGAGAGGAAGAGAGGCGAGAGAGAGAGAGAGCGAGAGAGAGAGCGAGAGAGGGAAAAAGGAGAGAGAGAGAGAAGAGAGAGCGGAGAGAGAGAGAGAGAGAGAGGCGGGCTCGAGAGGAGAGAAGCTATAGGAGATAGAGGATCGACTAGATGGCCTATACAGTCTATAGATGCATATCTGTCTATATTGCCTCATCTCTCTCTCTTCTCTCTCTTCGTTGTTCACTCATCTCTCTCTAGTCTCTCTCTCTCTCTCTCTCTCTCTCTCTCTCTCTCTCTCTCTCTGGTCCCCCCCCACGCCTATGATTATTAATATACTATTCTGGGCAGACTTTCCATTTGCAGAGGATCAGTAACCTCACTTATGAGGTCAAGTCGCAATCAAGATGAAATGGCTTGTTTCAGACCTGCTCTTCTCTCTGTCAGCTGCCAGGGGCTGAGCCCTCACACACACACACACACACACACACACACACACACACACACACACACACACACACACAGTCTTGAACAACTAGCCTTGAGAGATGTAGGTAATTCAGTCCCATTCAAAGTCCTGTTTCCCCCCCTAACGCTAATGCTAACCCTAACTTTAACCCCTAACGCTAACCCTAACCTTAACCCCTAACGCTAACCCTAACCTTAACCCCTAACGCTAACCCTAACCTTAACCCCTAACGCTAATGTGATGGGTGATTTGAAGGAGTCAGGCGCCCGAGGGTAAATCCCAGTATACAGAGTTTATTCCGTAATCCAGCGTAACCAGTCCAGTGCGCAAAACAGGCGCACTGGATTAAACATGCACACGGAGAAAATACCCAGGCAGTACAAAATACTGAGCTCCACCGAGCTACTAATCCTCACAATGAACAATCACCCACAAGGACAAGGGGGGCAGAGGGAACACTTAAACACGTACTAATGAGGGGATATGGACCAGGTGTGTGTAATTGACAAGACAAGACAAATGGAATGATGCGATATGGAGCGGCAGTGGCTAGAAGGCCGGAGACGACGAACGCAGAAGCCTGCCCGAACAAGGAGAGGAGGCAGCTTCGGAGGAAGTCGTGACAGCTAACCTAACGCTAACCCTAACCTTAACCCCAAAACCTAAACCTAACCCTAAACCTAACCCTAGCTCATAACCCTAACCCTAAACATAATTCTAACCATAACACTAATTCTAACCTTAACCCTAAACCCTCTAGAAATAGCATTTGACGTTGTGGAGATTAACAAAATGTGGTCCCCACAAGTATAGTTAAACACGTCCATACAGACACACACACACACACACACACACACACACACACACACACACACACACACACACATCCAGCGGGTGGGCCTCTCTTGACGTCTCTCTAGTTTGTCGTTGTAGCCGCGGAGGCAAATGTTTCTATTCTGGAGGGTTCATTAGAAAAGCATTGCTCCGTGACATTAATAAGTACATTTGGGGTCCATTTTCCTATTCAATGTGTTGAATGTCAGCTAAATGTATAGTACTAAAAGATAGAATCACATTAGTTGAGTCAGAAACTGCATGCATAATAATGTCAGAGCCTATACTGCCACATTATAATATTCATGTCACGCCCTGGCCTACAGAACTCTAGCTAGTTTGGTCAGGGTGTGAATATTCTAGATTTGTATTTCTATGTTGGCCGGTGTGGTTCCCAATCAGAGGCAGCTGTTGCTCGTTGTCTCTGATTGGGAATCATACTTAGGCAGCCTTTTGGCACTGTCTAGTTGTGGGTTCTTGTTCCGTGTTAGGTTTGTTGTCAGTACTACCTTTGGACTTCACGTTTCGTTTGTTGTTTTGTCGGTTGTTTATTCGTTGTAAATAAACATGTACGCAGATCACGCTGCGCCTTGGTCTGACCCGTCTTTAAACGAACGTGACAATTCAGGAATATTAGAATAGATCATGACTGGCTTTTAAACCAATTCAGATTTCTATAACTAATTGGGTCATAATATCTGTTTTAAATATGAATACAGCAATCAAATATGAATGACAATATATGGTTCAATATGGCTGTAATGAATAAATACATTATACTATCTGTTTAAATTATGCTAAATTTATGAGACCGTCCATCTCCTTGACAGAAACTTCACCATCCGGTTCATGCCGATCCCCATCATCGATGCGTCTCAGGCTCTCAAAGCCGGCCCTGAGAAGACTGAGGACGCCCTGCTCAAGGTGAGTAAGACTCTCAAAGCCCTGAGAAGACTGAGGACGCCCTGCTCAAGGTGAGTAAGACTCTCAAAGCCCTGAGAAGACTGAGGACGCCCTGCTCAAGGTGAGTCCGGCTCTTAAAGCCCTGAGAAGACTGAGGACGCCCTGCTCAAGGTGAGTAAGACTCTCAAAGACTGAGGACGCCCTGCTCAAGGTGAGTAAGACTCTCAAAGCCCTGAGAAGACTGAGGATGCCCTGCTCAAGGTGAGTAAGACTCTCAAAGCCCTGAGAAGACTGAGGACGCCCTGCTCAAGGTGAGTAAGACTCTCAAAGCCCTGAGAAGACTGAGGACGCCCTGCTCAAGGTGAGTAAGACTCTCAAAGCCCTGAGAAGACTGAGGACGCCCTGCTCAAGGTGAGTAAGACTCTCAAAGCCCTGAGAAGACTGAGGACGCCCTGCTCAAGGTGAGTAAGACTCTCAAAGCCCTGAGAAGACTGAGGACGCCCTGCTCAAGGTGAGTAAGACTCTCAAAGCCCTGAGAAGACTGAGGACGCCCTGCTCAAGGTGAGTAAGACTCTCAAAGCCCTGAGAAGACTGAGGACGCCCTGCTCAAGGTGAGTAAGACTCTCAAAGCCCTGAGAAGACAGAGGACGCCCTGCTCAAGGTGAGTAAGACTCTCAAAGCCCTGAGAAGACAGAGGACGCCCTGCTCAAGGTGAGTCCGGCTCTTAAAGCCCTGAGAAGACTGAGGACGCCCTGCTCAAGGTGAGTCCGGCTCTTAAAGCCCTGAGAAGACTGAGGACGCCCTGCTCAAGGTGAGTCCGGCTCTTAAAGCCCTGAGAAGACAGAGGACGCCCTGCTCAAGGTGAGTCCGGCTCTTAAAGCCCAGAGAAGACTGAGGACGCCCTGCTCAAGGTGAGTCAGACTCTCAAAGCCCTGAGAAGACTGAGGACGCCCTGCTCAAGGTGAGTCAGACTCTCAAAGCCCTGAGAAGACAGAGGACGCCCTGCTCAAGGTGAGTCCGGCTCTTAAAGCCCTGAGAAGACTGAGGACGCCCTGCTCAAGGTGAGTCCGGCTCTTAAAGCCTTGAGAAGACTGAGGACGCCCTGCTCAAGGTGATCAGGTTCTGAAAGACACTGAGTACCTTGTTGAACCATGGTTGAACTATCAATCAATATCATTATTTTTCCAATGGGGATTTGTTGTGTTATCTGGGTACAAAAACAATGATAACATATATTCACCTAACACACCCATATGATAACAAAAGCTATGAGCTATAACCGTTGTGCTACTGCCTGACAAAGTAATGGTCTCTCCTCTCTTCAGATTGAGAACTACCTGTTCCGGAACCATGAGACTCGTAAATACCTCCAGGAGCAGGCCTACCGCCTCCAACAGGGGATCGTTACCACCACCACTCAACAGGTGACACACACACACACTCACACACACACACACACACACACATAACACACACACACACACACATAACAGTATTTAAAAATTGATTACAATCTAAATACAGCTGCAGAGGTCAAATCGGGGTCAGCAACACAGGGGTCAGCAACACGGGGGTCAGGGGTCAGCAACACAGGGGTCAGCAAACACGGGTCCTAGCGTGACTTGATTTAGTTGACTTATTGAGCGTAGCATTGTGTGTATTCACCCCACCAACAGCCTGTAATCTCCCTCCAGTGAAACTTTCTCCCCTGACCCACTGATTAACACTGATGTCACTTAGGGGAGCAGGGGACAGGTTAACTGTTTTGATCCTTTTTCGTTTTCGCTCACCTCCAAGGTAGCAAAAGCTGTTAGTGCAGAACGTCTGCATTCAGATCAGCCTCTTATCACTACACAGCTTGTTAATGAAGAATTCCTTTAGGGCAAAGGGGTTTTGGAAGTTGAACATCACCTTATTGGATGATGTAAGATGAATTGATGACACCAATAAAACACCACCTCTGATTGGCTTGTAAGAGAAAGAGATATTAGAAGGGACATACCATCATCAGAAATGTAATCTTGAAGTGCAGCTTCACTTTAGGTTGGAAATTATACATTTGAGCGGATTATATCTTCTCTTGAAAAGTGGAAATTGCGGCGAGTAAGTGAAAGTTATCTTCAGAAGCTGTTACAGAACAGGGAGTGGCACTGTGTGAGAAAATGGCATCCAAATCGTCTCTCCCAGAGGAGAATTTCAACTGTCCTGTCTGCTTTGGCGTCTTCAGGAATCCTGTCCTCCTGTCGTGTAGCCACAGCTTCAGTAAATCCTGTCTGGAATTATACTGGCAACAGAAGGAACCACGGGAATGTCCAGTTTGTAGGAGAAGATCCTCAATGAATCCGCCATTGAACCTGGCTCTAAAGAACCTGTGTGAGGCCTTCATACAGGAGAGGAGTCAGAGAGCTTCAGCTGGGTCTGAGGTACAGGAGGGGAGTCAGAGAGCTTCATTTGGGTCTGAGGTACAGGAGGGGAGTCAGAGAGCTTCAGCTGGGTCTGAGGTACAGGAGGGGAGTCAGAGAGCTTCATTTGGGTCTGAGGTACAGGAGAGGAGTCAGAGAGCTTCAGCTGGGTCTGAGGTACAGGAGGGGAGTCAGAGAGCTTCATTTGGGTCTGAGGTACAGGAGGGGAGTCAGAGAGCTTCAGCTGGGTCTGAGGTGCAGGAGGGGAGTCAGAGAGCTTCATTTGGGTCTGAGGTGCAGGAGGGGAGTCAGAGAGCTTCATTTGGGTCTGAGGTACAGGAGGGGAGTCAGAAAGCTTCATTTGGGTCTGAGGTACAGGAGGGGAGTCAGAGAGCTTCATTTGGGTCTGAGGTACAGGAGGGGAGTCAGAAAGCTTCATTTGGGTCTGAGGTACAGGAGAGGAGTCAGAGAGCTTCATTTGGGTCTGAGGTACAGGAGGGGAGTCAGAGAGCTTCATTTGGGTCTGAGGTACAGGAGAGGAGTCAGAGAGCTTCATTTGGGTCTGAGGTACAGGAGGGGAGTCAGAGAGCTTCATTTGGGTCTGAGGTACAGGAGGGGAGTCAGAAAGCTTCTGCAGGGTCTGAGGTGCTCTGCAGTCTGCACGGTGAGAAATTCAAACTCTTCTGTTTGGAGGATAAACAGCCCGTCTGTGTGGTGTGTCAGACCTCAAAGAAACATAAATCTCATGTCTGTGTCCCTGTAGATGAGGCTGGACAGGATTATAAGGAGGAACTGCAGACTGCCCTGAAGCCCTTAAAGGAGAAGAAGAAGGTCTTCAATAAAGTTAAACTAACCTGTGATCAAACAGCAGAGCACATTACTAGCCAGGCCTTGCACACAGAAAAGCAGATTAGGAAAAAGTTTGAGAAGCTTCGCCAGTTTCTACAAGAGGAAGAGGAGGCCAGGATAGCTGCACTGAGGGAGGAAGAGGAGCAGAAGAGTCAGATGATGAAGAAGAAGATTGAAGAGATGAGCAGAGATACATCGTCACTTTCAGACACAATCAGAGCCATAGAGGAGGAGTTGAAAGCTGAAGACATCTCATTCCTGCAGAACTTCAAGACCACAAAGGAAAGAGCCAAGTGCACACTGCAGGATCCACAACTGGTCTCAGGAGCTCTGATAGACGTGGCCAAACACCTGGGCAACCTGCAGTTCAGAGTCTGGGAGAAGATGCAGGGGATCCTCAAATACACTCCCGTGATTCTGGACCCCAACACAGCTTCCCACTGGCTCTCTCTGACTGATGATCTGACCAGTGTGAGATACACAGGCACAAAACAGCAGCTCCCTGACAACCCAGAGCGATTAATGAAGTATATAGATGTTCTGGGCTCTGAGGGGTTTAGCTCAGGGAAACACCGCTGGGAGGTGGAGGTGGGGGACCACACTCACTGGCTTCTGGGCGTGGCTAAAGAGTCCCTTGACAGGAAGGGGGAACGGGATGCATCACCACAGCATGGGATCTGGTGTATAGAGCAGCAGAGTGGTAAATATAAAGGAGGAGGAGGAGGCGTCATCACTCTGAAGAGGAGACCCCAGAGGATCAGAGTGCAGCTGGACTACGACAAGGGGGGAGGTGTCCTTCTACGACCCCAAAGACATGACACTCATCTACACTCTTAAAGACACATTTACTGAGAGGCTGTTCCCATACTTTTATATTGGAACGGTTGCTGATGCCAACCGCCTTGATGTACAGATCTGCCAATCAAAGGTGTCTCTGACAGTGATGTCATCCTGATGAGGTGTGCGTGTGCATGTGTGCGTGTGTGTGTGCGTGCGTGCGTGCGTGCGTGCGTGCGTGTGTGTGTGTGTGTGTGTGTGCGTGCGTGCGTGTGTGCGTGTGAGAAACATTGTCAGTTTCAGTGGACATTATCACAAGATCAGTTTTGTGATTAAAATTAATATTCACATAATTTCTAGAAACTACGAGACATAAATATCTCTATACTTACGATGTGCTTCACTTCTAAGAATCAATTGTTTATAATAATAAATGTATCCAGGGTGAATCCCGGTTGGTATTCTAACAAGACGAGGGTGCCGCATTGGGAAAATCTCACCATAAGTAAAATATTTGTTTCTAATGCAATAAAAAAATGTATGTGAAATACCGTATATTTCTGTAACAACAGACGATTAAGAATATCTAATCTAACAGTATCTAATCTAACAGTATCTAATCTAATGTGGTGACGACTGTGGGCTTTATAGGAGTTCTCTCAGATCAGGTGGTGGCGATATGATTTGTTAACTTCTGTTTAGACTGACATTTTAGATAGACATGTCAGTAGTGTTAGACCTGTCAGTAGTGTTAGACCTGTCAGTAGTGTTAGACCTGTCAGTAGTGATAGACCTGTCAGTAGTGATAGACCTGTCTGTAGTGTTAGACCTGTCAGTAGTGTTAGACCTGTCAGTAGTGTTAGACCTGTCAGTAGTGATAGACCTGTCTGTAGTGTTAGACCTGTCAGTAGTGTTAGACCTGTCAGTAGTGTTAGACCTGTCAGTAGTGTTAGACCTGTCAGTAGTGATAGACCTGTCAGTAGTGATAGACCTGTCAGTAGTGTTAGACCTGTCTGTAGTGTTAGACCTGTCTGTAGTGATAGACCTGTCAGTAGTGATAGACCTGTCAGTAGTGTTAGACCTGTCAGTAGTGATAGACCTGTCAGTAGTGTCATCCCTGTAATGTCCTGTGATCTATATTTGATGATGATTTGAATGATTGGTTGTGGTATGATGTGATGTTGTTATTCTTGTTGTTGATGTTGCAGACGTGCCCAAATACATTTCCCCTCATGGATAAATAACGATTTTTATAATTGAATTGAATTGATAATAATAATAAAACGGTGAAACCATAAAAAAAGAACTGTCAGTCAGCTTTCCCTAATTATTACATTTTACATTTACGTCATTTAGCAGACGCTCTTATCCAGAGCGACTTACAGTTAGTGCATACATTATTCTTTTTTCATACTGGCCTCCCATGGGAATCGAACCCACAACCCTGGCGTTGCAAACGCCATGCTCTACCAACTGAGCTACCTCCCTGCCGGCCATTCCCTCCCCTACCCTGGACGACGCTGGGCCAATTGTGCGCCGCCCCATTGGTCTCCCGGTTGCGGCCGGCTACAGCAGAGCCTGGATTCGAACCAGGCTCTCTAGTGGCACAGCTAGCACTGCGATGCAGTGCCTTAGACCACTGCGCCACTCGGGAGGTTACCCATCAACCCTCCTGGTTTGGACACATTGATAAATGCAACCACCCACATAAATGACAACCACCCACAGACTAGGGAAATATTAGTATTTTAAGTACAAAATGGGATCTTTGGTAGCAGCACTTTCTGACCAACTGGTCACCATGACAGTGAAATACATAAGATAATCCTGGTAGTATCTAGCATTAACCACCACATCTTAGATCTCTACCCGGTACAGCCAGAAGAGGACTGGTCACTGGTCTGGTTCCTCTTTAGGTTTCTTCCTAGGTTCCTGCCTTCTAGGGATGTTTCCACTGTGTTTCTGCCACTGCATTGCTTGCTCTTTTGGGGTTTTAGGCAGGGTATCTGCATAGCACTTTGTGACAACTGCTGATGTAAAAAGGGCTTTATAAATACACTCTTGGACACGTTAAGGACAGAGAGGTGGACGGAGCCACTCACACATTCAGAAATCACACACATCAGGGTATCCTATCATGTCAACTTTTTTGATATTTTATTCAACAATTACATTAATTAGATTTGTATTTGTACTTCAATCCTTTGTTTATACTGAACATTACAGAAGATGAGACACAATGCTTGATGATTCATTTTACGGTGAAGATGAGACAAGATGCTTAGTGATTCATTTCATGGTGAAGATTCGACACGATTTTTAGTGATTCATTACATTGTGAAGATGAGACACGATTCTTAGTGATTCATTTCATGGTAAAGATGTGACAGTTTGTATTTCCTGTTATTTGATCGTAAAGAGATTGTATTGTCATCTGAAGATGATTCAAGTTTCTCCTCAAGATGCTCTGAAGCAGTGCTGTATATTATACCTCTCAGATTGTCTTTCATCTTGAGATAAGTGGGATATTAGGTTTCACCGCTAGACAGGAAACAGTTTTGTTCCTGTCTCACAGTCTTCTTCTTGGTCTTCTTCAGATGATTGACAGGATCTGTGTGAAAGTCCAGGACCATCTCAACTCTCTGAGGAACTCAGAGACAGACGTGATCTTGGACGACGTCAAGACGGCCGAAAACCTGATGAAGGATGCCAGGAACTCCAAAACGGTGAGTGGGGGGAGATAGATTCTGACATTGGATCGACTCGTTGTTTCAGTACACCAAAGTCACTGGTCATTTTACTCTGGGCATCTAGTTAAGACCTAACCCATAATCCCACAATGAACATTCTGCAGAGGAAGATTGAATCCCCTAGCAGTTTGAATGTTACTGCCCTTTTTCTAACCCTCTCCTCCTGTCCTCCTCTCCTCCTGTCCTCCTTTCCTCCTCTCCCATTCTCTCCTCTCCTCCTGTCCTCCTCTCCCATTGTCTCCTCTCCTCTCCCCTTCTCTCCTCTCCTCCTCTTCCCTCTCCCCCTCCTCTCTCCTCTTCTCCCCTCCTCTCCTCCTCTCCTCCTCCTCCCCTCCTCTCCTGTCCTCCTCTCTCCTCATGTCCTCCTCTCTCCTCCTGTCCCCCTCTCCCCTCTCTTCCTCCTCTCCTCCTCCTCCTCCTCCTCCTCCTCCTCCTCCTCTCTACTCTCCTCCCCCCAGCTGCTCCCTAGCCTGTACCACCTGGGAGCAGCATCCAGAGAAGAGGTCAACGGTCAGTCAGTAGGACCCATCCAGGAGAAACTGGAGTCCATGGCTGGAG